CTTCTCTCCGTTTCTTCGGCTCTTTCATCATGGATCAGGAATCAATACGAAAAGATTGATGCTGGGTTCCGAATCAACTAAGAAGCAGTGTACACCGGTGAGTTTTAGGTGATACAGGACGTGATGATAGACATATGTATTATCTACTTACGTGACCCGCTTCAGACTAAGAGTAGGTCTATTTCAGCTGTAGGCTAAAAAAAGGACTGAAAACTTCTGGGGTGTCCGGCTCTATTTAGATTGTCCGAACATCATGATCATCTACACTGGCAGAAGAACAGCTAGCGAATAGTTCGATTTTGTGATGTTTTGACAGGACACTGCAGAAATCTGAGTTGTATCTCCGCAATAAGGGCTGGGACCCGACATACAGTACGTGCCCGTCTGGCTGTACTGCAATTTGCGAGGAGTCGAAATTAGTATTCAGCTTGATGCACTCTCCTTCCCTTTTCCTTTGATAATCAGGCTTTAAGCTGCGCTGGAGATGGAGTCGTATATACTACATACATAGCCTTGGACGAAGGCTAGGCAAACTCGAGGATGGTACATGACCTCACCAGCTCGCTTCAACATGACACGATGACTTCCGAGTTGGATAGACAGTTTGGGGGTATGTTTTCCGTCATCGGGCTCTACGTATGCGTCACGGTAGGGTACGTACAACAGTACACAGAGTGCATCATAGTAGGTCGGGACTTGGGACTCGGGAGTTTGAAGCTTGTCAATGAATTGAAAATTGCCGAACTTAATACGGCTGTTGGCGCTGCTCATTCAAGGCCTGAGTATTAAAGCATTTTCCCGTTGGGCTTGTGCTTTATGCGGTTCATGTTTCGGAAATGAGACGAAACGAAACTAATTTCCCTAAGTACTTACCATTGGGCTCGGTCTTTTGCGCACGGCTAGAACATGTGTCTCTATATGTACTCGTAGAGTAGGCGCTGTTATACATTGGAGCCACTGACGCAACTGGTGAGTTATGAGCGCACCGAGAAAATTGAAAAGAAAAGGAAAACACACGCCAGCGAGCTGTCGGCGGCGGTGTGTCGATCCTGACTCGCGCGTGGCAAGACATTCGAATGAATACACAGTATGCAGTCCCGACTGAACGGAAATGATAATATCAAGAATTCAAGAAGCTAAGCTCGCTCTAGCCAATGAAGATATTCCAGGGGACAAAAATCAAGGTCTAGGCGCCGTTCATGTTGATGGTGAAACACGAGGCGGTTAGAAAGAATATATTTTGGTAGGCCAGGTCAGAGCTTTACCTGTAGATTAATACGATGGCTCTTGAATGCGAAACCAGAGATTGAAGGTAACCTTGGGCAAGCTGGAGGAGATGGAAGGGACCGGTGGGGAAGTGATTGCCGATGATTTGCCGAGCGGAGTTTCCTTTTTGTACCTTGATAACGTAATACTCCCTGGATTTTTTGTTGGGCTACGGCTTTTCAGGGCTTTTTCTCATCCCTGCCAAGTCGGTCAGTCAATATTTGAGTAATCCTCTTCTTTGTTCCTTACTCCCACTACAGGCTCGACCTTTTCGCGGATTAGAAAGTCCTACAGAGGGTGTTGCTGCTGGAAGGTGTTTTGAGTGCGCCACTAAGCACGGATCTGGGAATTGTAGACTTTGACAGCGTGGACGGTGGGCTCACTAGAAACGCTGACTGACAATTTCTTGGAAGGTCTATCTAGTCAAATTGTGCCCGGCAAGTTTGGGTAATATTTTTTCAGCTTTTTGTTGGTGCGACGCTGACCTTTTGACTCTAGACAGCAGCCTTCAGAATCCATCAGTCTGGTGAGTCAAGCCCCCATTTTTTTTTGTCGCGCCGTATGTTCTCGCCCATCAAAATTCGAATGATATGTCCTAGTCGGACCAATCGGTGTGCTGTGCCTGCTTTGGTTCCTGTCCTTACCCTTTTATCCTAGTCTGGGTCAAACGTCTGTTACAGCCACTGACTGTCTTTACTTTTTATTCCAGCAGTTTTTGGCCCACAGACGTTGTTTACGCCAGTGGAGTCCATCCTCTCACCGTACTTGTTATCTTCCGCCCCCTCTTAACTCAACTTCATAATCGTTTCCCCCTCCCCCACGTCTATCACATTCTCTTGCTTCACACTCTCCTTACAAAATCAATCACCGCCTTGTCACCAAACTCTATTTCCTGAATCACGTCTCAAATTAACCCGGACTTTTAAATATAACGATGTTTACACCACCTGGTTCTCCCCTCCCTTCCCCTCGGGCGAAGCTTGACCAACCCAATCCTTTGGAAGAGATGCAGCGTCAAGCGACCGATGCTTTGCTCGCTCCTCCTTCCTCAAGCTCCTCTACGAGCTCTCCAACGACTTCAGCATTCTCTCCTTCACATTCCAGTTCTTCACTGAACTCGGATCTAGCACTCAAGCCCATTCCTTCATCCACAGAAACTCGCCCTTCGTCATCAACTTCGGCATCATTATCTTCATCATCCCGAGTTTCACGTTCATCCGCCCCATCATCATTTTCGCCTTCATCAACACCATCTGCATCAATCTTGCCCTCTCCGCCTTTATCTTCGGCCTCATCATCAAGCGAATCACCGTATTCAAACGAAAAATTATTCTTTCCACAACAGCAGGCGCTCCTAGCACGCCAGAAGGACCTCGAAGACCAGCTTCACCGATTTCAAAGTCGCTCCGAAACTAAACGTCGTATTGGCCGCAACCTGAAATGGACGGCAATTACGGTGCCTTTCGTCCTGGTGTTGGTGACGCTAGGTAATCACTGTCTTGTCTCGTTGTTGGGAATGGCTGGATGGATGAACGGAGTAGATGGGCCGAGGATGGCAGTTGAGAGTGAGGAAGGCAGTGGATGGCTAGGCAATGACTTGAACATATCAGTCGATGGGGCACATCCGTCCGAGTCAATGTCGTACCCGCATCACCATCATGGTCATCATGTCGAGGTTCTTGCGGAAGATCGAGCGACACTTTACCGTCGTGCTTCTGCTACGAGTATCAGTATCAGTGTCGCTTCGGCAACTGGGACCCCAACCGATTCTCAGTTGGCTACGAGCACGACGCCCTCCGCTTCGACAACGACGACCCCGGCAACTCAGCAAGACCTTCCTACTATACCTTCAGGTACGTTTTTTCTCGCGACTTGCGTTGTCCCTGCTCATTCTTCCGTAGATCCCGTCCTTCCAACTCCCTTCCCTCAACCAAGTTATACGCAAAATTTTTCTACCCAGTCGTGCTTCGACTTTTTCCAGAACATGACCAACTCGGTGGATTTCAGGAGCTGTAGGCCTTTCGGGATACTGCAGAGCGCAAGTAGCGACTTTGGCGAGGTGAGTTATAGTTTAGCTGTCTGCTTGCTTACCTTCTTCCGTGCTCATGCTACCCCATTTTCCTATAGCTTCAAGACAACCTGACGGCTCTGAATGCTGTCATATGGGGCACATGTAACACAACTCCGGGTGTTGACCAATGCACGTCCACTATGGCCTCATACGCAGCCTCCTTACGGTCATCGTGCTCAAAGGATCTGTCGAATAAGAATGCGAATGCTGTGAGCACGCTTTCGGGTGAGCCTATTCAGCCAAGTATGGGTACAAGAATATCGTCTCTAATCCTTACATATTTCCGCGTAAACTAGCCCTCCAAGCCTACTCCCTTACCTACTCTGCTGGTTGTCTCACCGACCCAACGACGAACTCTTACTGCTACGTGAAGGCCGCGCACAACTCCAACCCCTCCGATCTCTTCTTCTACAATCTCCCCTCCGGCATCTCCATATCCAACACGTCGACTCTGACGTGTTCGTCGTGCACGAAATCGCTCATGTCGCTGTACGTGAATGCGCTGAATGCGAATGCGTCGCAGTATGAGCCGCTGGCGCAGGTGTATGGGAGTGCGCAAGCGTTGGCGAGCAGTGCGTGTGGGCCTACTTATGCGTCGGTTTCGACGAGTTCGCAGGCTGATACGTCTGGTGCTCTGAGCTATCGAGGTGACGCCGGGGCGTGGGGTTTGGGTTGGAGGTTATTTGGTATGCTTGGGGTGTTGGGGGCGTTGGTGTGTTTGATATAGACTTGCTGCTGCCCTTGGGTCGATGGATGATTTGTTTCTTGTGTACCTTTTTCTTTCTTTTTTGGGTTACGGTTTCTTCCTTCGTTTGAAGTTCTCTCTTGGGTGCTATTGTTTTACAAGTATGCTCTCACTTAAGCTTTGACTACTAATTTCTGGTTTTTTGGTTTTCCATTACGAAATAGGCTCGCTTCAGGCTTTCTCCCTCATACATGGTGTTTGTTGGTTTAGTGTACATACATACATACTCGCTTACTCGTACTTGCTGAATGTTTTTGGTGTTTCTTGGTTTCGTTGCGGTGGGCTGATTGACTGAATTTTGACGCGTTACGTGGGGGGATGGTTCGGGTTTACCTGGGTCTTTTGGGGGGGGGGGGAGTTGGGCCTGTAGCCAGCTAGTTATGTTTATTTAAGTTATTCGGACGTGTCGCTCTTGCTGTTTGTTTTTTTTTTTTGGTTTCTTGTTTATCCTTCACCCTCACCCTAGGCTCGCTCTCACTCCGAGTCTCAACAGCTTACTATCCGCGCATTTTACCTTTACCTTTACCTGTTTGGTTCTTGACTTTTTGAATGACGAAATGGCGTTCGAAATTGACCTATCGTTGGTTGGCTTCGATCGTTCCTTATGTACGTGTATCGTAGCGTAGTTTATATATAACATATAACATATAACGTACTCGAATATTATATATGTCATAGGTGCTCAGTACTCAGTCTCAATATTCCGTTTGAGTACGAGTGGGTGTACGCTATCCGAATGTTACTCTTGGTAGTAGTACGAAACAACGTTAGTAGTTGTGCCGGTCACGGTTGCCAGGTGAAAATACTGAGGGGTGATATCGATAGCATTTTGGAATTTTGAGCAGCTACTAGTTGGGCATGAATGTACACACATTGCTTTGTATTTTATGTTGTGATATATGTCACTAATTAAGTAATGGGCGTATGGTCTAGAGGTATGATACCTGCTTTGGGTCATCAGGACTGAGAAATCTATTGCAGGGGGTCTTTGGTTCGAATCCGGATTCGCCCCATTGGTATGAATTCGATTTTTTTCGCTCCTTGATAGGCATTGACAGGGAGACTGAAGCATCCTTTTGATTGCAGGTAGTGAATAATCTGTCACAAAGGCAACCAAGAGGTAAGAGCCCTAAGCAATGAGATAAATCACTACAGGTGGCTGAGAGGTACAATATGTCGAGGTACAATGGTCTTGTTGACGAGGATGGTCAACATATTTACATTCGAGACCTATCTAGAGACTAGAAGATATAGATCTCACGGACAGTATTGCATTAGAAAGAGATCGAGAAAATCTTGAAATCTTCCGCATTTCCCCCCAACGAGGGTACACCACTGTTGCTTATACTCAAGGATTTGCCGCTGTCGCTTTCCTTGATATTGTAAAGGCCTGCACCCTCGTACGTGATATTGAACACGGAGCTCGAGTTCATCGATCCAAAGTGCAAGTTACCATCAAGGAATGGGGTCGTGGCATTAGCAACATTGGTCGGGTCCGTTACAAAGGCTGCGGAAGAGATTCTGAACGTCTTTCCCGTTGCCACTTTGGGATCCGTAGCATGGATCACGAAGCGCTGGGAAGGCGTATTGAACTTGTCAGATGTAACCGGCGAAGTACCGAGGGATGATCCATTAAAGGAGAGTGCCAAATTGTTGCGACTGGATTCTATAACAAGATAGCGTCCCTCGGTGAGTGAGCCTGAAGTTTTGATAATATAAGATCAAGGAAACTCAGTGGAAAAAAGCAGCGTTGATACCTCGTACGGTCTTGAAACCCGTCTCTGTGAAAAGAGAATCTGCCAAGGTCTGCTTGCCATACGGTACAGGTGCTTCAATATGACCTGCAAAAGCATTCTCGCAAAATACGTCCTACGCAGGATATGGTAAATGTGCACTTCGACACTGGGAAAGGCACACGTACCCCATCAAGGAGAGATGTGAGAGGGTCTGCATGAGGTGGAGGAGTGTCTGGGATCGGTGCAGCAGAATAGTCAGGCTGGGATAAGCTCATGTCAGTGGTTCTTCGTCATGTCGAAATGAGACCGAATTACATGCTCAAAGTCGAACATGTTTACTAGATTAGACATATGCTCTCTTCTCCAATCGTTAATTTGAGTGTTTTTGAAGGGGGTGCCCTAATTCAACTGTTAGCATACTAAACCCTTTCGAATGATAGCATACTCTGGCAGCAGCCCACTGTTCAAGGAATAAAGTCTGTGATATATGATCTGCTGGCTCTGTAAAAACGATTCCGCCTCGGGTCCAAGGTGAGATAACTGAGAAAGGAACGCGGAAGCCAGGTCCGGTAGGAGCGGGTTGTCCAGTGAAGGGGTTCTAGTGGAGTCATCGGTTATTTGAGAGCTCAATAACCCTGGATACCACTTACAATAATCCATTCCCCGGGAGTGTTCTCCGGACTGACAAGTAATGAGCATGGTGGGACAAATTTGGAAGTGCTTTCGCATACGAAGTAAAAGGTACAACGCTGAAATCAGAATGCATTAGTGCCCGGTAGGTAGCCACAATGTTAGCTGTCGTACTGATCGCCCCATCCGCCGGTTTCGTCATAAGAAATGATGAGGATTGTCTTGTTATATTTCGGAGAACCGACGATAGCATCGACGATCTCCTTCCAAAGCCAACCACCGTCAATTGGTCGGTAGGACGGATGTTCAGACAGCTCTGCAGGGCCTGTTTATTGTTCAATTGGTGTAATCTAAATAAAAGCCCGAATGTACGCAAGTAATAAAGAAACTTGCCGATATAAAAGGATACGGCCGGAAGGGTTCCCCTGTAACGCATGATGAGTACGGAGTTCTAACAGCAGACCTGATATAATGGGCATACTCGGCAGCCTGTTTCTTCAACAAGTCTAAACCACCTTGCCAATTGCCTCCTCCGTTCATAGCCAGGCCTAAGAGGTGTTCATAAAATTTGAGGAGACGATAGTGAAGAACGCACCTTGTTGAGCAAGTCCAGACGTTGGATTATTGTCAGCTAAATCCTGCCAAAAAGTAAAAGAGACCAAAGGATTGTCGCCAAAGCTGATGAGAGAGTGATTGGTTGAGAATCTCGATAAGACAACCAAAATAGCATACTTGTCGAAAGCTTGAAACTCTTTGAACGAAATGCCTGCATCGTCCAGGTATTCCGGGAGCTATTTAAACTTTCTATAGCTTGCTACTCTTGCACTGGTCAAATTTGCTTACAGTCTTCCAATTGTACGGGAAACTGGCCTATCGTTCAGTGGTGACTTCAAGCAGAGGACAAGGTGCGAAGAGTACCAGCTATAGTTCTGCGGTGATTCCAATTCTGTTCCATTTTCGAGTTGCAAAGTAAGCCTGGAACATCCTGGAGTCCCGTTATTGTCCAAAACGGGTCCTTGTGTAGTGTTCACATTCCCTCCAGGGGCGCTGGATTAGAAGAACTCAACGTGAGACATTACTAACAGTTCAAACAACCCTACGCTATACTCCCAGTTTGCCATATGACGCGGTTTGGGTTCGTCGCCTCGAAGAAGGTGAGCCCTTATCGAGGCTGTGAGGCCATCGGAGATACTCACGGCGATAACTCCTTGTTGATACATGTCACCTATCGACCAGCCTTCGGTAATAGCAAATTGTACGGGGATGTCAGATCGCCTGAAATGGCCCCATGACTGTGGAGTATTCGCTTCAACCCAAAGATCCTGAGAAAGGTTTAAACACGGCACCAAAGACATTTTTAAGAACTTGCATTCTGTCCAGAAGCCAGCGCCGCATGGTTTTCCCCCCAACTGTTAGAGCCGCCGGCCATACATTGGGTACCGTTTATAAACTCGCCCCCCTCTGCCGCGATGTACCATGGAAGAAGAAAGTCGGTGTCGTTGGAAAGAAATGAATTTACTTGCTGAAAAAATACCGAACGACCATCGGGGTCAATCTGAACGCTAAAAATACACTCAGGATAGACTCTATATGCAGTGGAGGGCCGACTTACTTTGGGTCTTTGAAGCCTGGTGAAGAACGATGATGACTACCATAGAATGGTTGCTCAAACAGAAAGAGGCTGACCTCGAACTCCAGCCATAGATCCCTAAATAACTTATCCAGTCCACTGACAACTCGAGATCGACTCGAGGCTTACAAAATAGTGATCAAATGCCCTATTCTCTTGCATGAACAGAACAATGTGCTCAACCTCAGCCAAACTGTCTGCAAATACAGAACTGGCCAAGGAGAGTGCCAAGAGAGTGTTCCAGGTACAGAGCATTGTTGGGTTTACTTCGAAGCTTTGAAGTGGTGTCATAATCAAGACCTTATATACACCCACAAAAACACGCATTTAAACCATCACATTCGAAGTATAGGCTCGGGAGAATTGATCGTTCGATAACCGATTATTCATTGCACATAAACTAGACGTTGAAAGCGGGCACATGCCACCCGTACCACGTTTGCTCAAGGGTCTTTACGTTGACCTGATGGAAGGAAGTGAAGATGCCGGGCCGGAAGTAGCTGCCGAGCGCCGGGTTGACCTGCCGCTGTCTGTGTAAGCCTGCTGTTTATCGGCTAACTGTTCCGACTTACGTACACATTACATATCATTCGGCTGACACTGACAGACGATAATACTCTTTTTCTTTCCTTTCGACCATCACCTTCGTCTCTGAATAGTTTCTCCCAATAAAGCTTAGTCTACCCAGATCGTCTGATCGTGAGTGCTGGGTCTCATAGCATGTTTTATTAGTCTGGCTTGTTTGTTTCAACGTTCAAGCATTGGCATTTTATCTCATGCCACTCCATCCTTTTTTTCAGATGATTTTACATAGTACATGCTTAAAAAAAGCTCTCCTACTCCTTGTTTCTCCAACTAGAATGAAACCGAAAAGATATTGAAATCTTCCGCAGTTCCACCCAACGAGGGGACACCCTTGTTACTCAAACTCAAGGGCTTGCCGCTCGCGCTTTCCTTAATGTTGTAAACTCCCCCACCTTCATATGTTATATCAAACACAGCGCTTGAGTTTATCGACCCGAAACGCAAGTTATTGTCAAGGAACGGGGTCGTTGCGTTAGCAGGATTGGTCGCATCTGCGACAAAGGCGGCGGAAGAAATCCTGAATGTATTCTCCGTTGCCATTGTGGGATCCGTCGCGTGAATGACGAACCGCTGGGATGGAGTATTGAATTTCTCAGATGTAGCTGGCGAGGTACTGAGAGACGATCCGCTAAAGGAAAGGGCTAAATTGTTGTGGCTTGACTCTATGACAAGATAGCGTCCCTCCGTGATGGAGCCTTGCATTTGAAGATATGAGATTAAGTCAAATTGGTAAGACACAGAGAGCTTCGTACCTCGCACGGTCTTGAAGCCTGTCTCTGTGAACAGAGAGTCTTGCGGAGTCTGTTTGCCGTACGGAATAGGAGCCTCGACAAATCCTGCAAAGGCTTGTTCACAAAAAACGTCCTGTGTACGAAAAGGTTGGCTTGCGCTTCGACTCTATAAGTGCCTTACGTACCCCATCAAGAAGCGACGTGAGAGGGTCTGTATGAGGTGGGGGAACTTCTGGGATTGATACGGTAGAATAGTCGGGCTAGGATCAGGTCATGTCAGTGGCTCTTCGCTATCCTTGAATTGAACTGATTTACATGCTCAAAATCGAACATGTTCAACAAGTTGGACATGTGCTCTCTTCTCCAGTCGTTGATCTGTGTATTCTTGAAAGGAGTGCCCTAGCGCACTAGCTCAGACTGGGCAGACATTTCAAGACTGTACGGAATGATAACCTACCCTGGCGGCCGCCCATTCCTCAAGGAATAAGGTTTGTGATGTATGGTCTGCCGGCTCTGTGAAGACGATGCCGCCTCTACTCCATGGTGAAATAACTGCGAAAGGAACACGGAAGCCAGGTCCGGTAGGAGCAAGCTGCCCTGTGAAGGGATTCTAGTAAGGCGTTAAACAGCTATCACCAATATGATGCAGGAAATCATTTACAGTAATCCATTCACCAGGAGTGCCCTCTGGTCTAGAGAG